AATATAAATCTAGGCACAGTCATAGGCAATTGAATAAAATCCAGTCTCTGTAATCACAGGCTTTTAATCGGATTTTAATACATCTTTATAATCACTTACAATCAGAAAAATGGGCAGGTAGAAACATACACATTTTATAGTAAGCATGTTTTAAAAAACTGATGTATTCAATATGCAGTCAAAGTGAAGATGCTGGACTGAAAAAATTAAGATATTATTTTTTTCCAAATATACTGCCCATTTATCCATACTGCTAAAAGTCTGTTCAAATGAAAGATGATTTTAAATTTACATGATAGATCAGTTTTATACATTGATACAATATGCACAGCCTGCAATTTGGGCCAAAAAAACTCCCTCTGAACTCAGAATTTGGGCCTGAGGTTGGAGCACAGAACTGCAACTATGCATATGCTGAAAAGGTGCCTATTAAAATACACACCTTCTACACACTAAACACTGTGTTACTTTCCAGACAGTGCCCCAAAGCAATATGAAAAATGTGCAAGAGCTTATTCAGGAATTTCTTTTAAGTCAGGAGTTAAGATTTGAATGCATTTTCTGAATGCATAGTGTCATCAAATGGGGTCAATTTGTAAGCTCTTTCTGTTTTTAATAAAGCAGAAAATAAATCAAAAAATCTCTAAGTAAGTGCAAAGATACCACCTTTCCCCGTCTCAAGTAACTCTCTCATGCAGAACAAAAAATAACAGAGGTATACGTCCTTATTTTACGTTTCCCCAAACTTCCAATATTCATCTATGACCTTTCATTTTCCATCGCAAAATAAAAAACATGTCAGAACACAATACCTAACCAAATAGAAGATATGCTTAGTGATGAATCAAAAGAATATAGTGGATAACAGCCAAAAGGCAATTTTAAATTTCCGTTTATTCTGACCATATGCCATAAAGATATAAAGAATGTACTAGATAAAGGCTGTTTTCCTCGGAAATATTTATCACAGGAGACATTTATCAAATGAAATAAGTTATTTCTTGACTGAAGTGCAAGAAATGTAATTGTTTTCTCATCTTGTTTTAAGTCATGAGCAGTGTCTTGAAGAAGTCCCCGAAGAGGTCACTGTTCAAAGGCTGCAATGAATATTATCAAAGGAAAACATCCCACCATGTTCTCTAGTCAAGATCTCTACTTCTCAGCAATATAGTTTACCTACTCCCTTATCTCTCTATGAACTCAGAGAGATGAAGCCTAAATATTGTTTCCAGCACCCTTCTCCTTCCGCTTTTAGGAACATAACGTGCTTGAAGTTATTTCTATTATTTTTATAGTTCATGACAGTCATGGCTACCTGACAGTGTCTGTCACCGATGATAACGACGATGTAGTTCTAGCTACACTATTTTTCTAATTCATATGCAAACTCAGCAGTAAGACAAGGGACAAAAGAACAGGAAGGGCATAGATAAAGAAAATCCTTTCCACTCCTCTTCATCTAAAGTGAGATGTGCAGACTAATCCTTCTCAATTTCAATTTGCAGCATACACTGTGAGCCAAGATCTGATAGGGGAAGATTGACTGGTGCTATTTGGTTTCCTGACTGCAGGAAGTTATACACAGGCCACAAGAAACAACCAGGCACAATTTCCTCTACGAACAGAGCTTATCAGAGAAAAATAAATAAATAGAATGGTTCCAAGCTATTATACATGATAAAAAAAGGATTAAATAGAAAAAAATTACAGAAGCAGCAGCTACTTAAAAAGACAGACTAGGGAAATTAAAAACAATAAAGGGGTGAAATCATTAAATGCTTGATGCCAGAAGATCCAGAGGGCGTACTCAATGAGGATCTCAATAAAAGGAGGGATTTCCAGGCAGCAAAGACATTAAAACAGTGGCAAATAACTGGCAGGAAAGATTTCAGCATGGGCTGTACAAATCTTCTGGAGACCCAGCGATACACTCAAGCTGTAAACCCACATCATCATCTCATCAATGCGATCGCTATCCACACTAGCTAGTTTACAGCTAGCATGGCCACATCAATCAGCGATACAGCCAGATCCTCAGTCACACAGACTGCCATCTGCTCGCAGTGTATCACAAGCAACAGCATATTTCCACTGACACACTGTGTGGGTGCAGTCCCACAGCACTCGAGCCAACACAAGGTAGGGCTGCCGTTGCCCCCGGCTATCTTGGCTGCACAGACCCTGGCCGTTGCATCAGCGTTGGCACCCAAGCCACCGCATCAGTTCAAGGAGCTGCTGTAGACAACAGCAGAAGCAACCGGTTTTTCCATGGGATCAGCTGCCTTAGCTGGCTGGCTGCTCCATGACATCAACAGCAGCGCTGGCTCGAGGGAGGCACCAGAACAATGTGGCTGGGGCTGGGAGGGTGGGACTGTGGCAGATCTACATTGGCTCAAATTGCCATGAAACTCAACATGCAGCAACTAGCCTCAGATCAGAGTGTATCTACATTTATACTGCTCGCCCAGACCATAACTGTAAATACCCAGTGTTTTAAAAAGCCAGCACTGCCATCAGCGGCAGGAATCTCTTGCCTGTTAGTTTCCTCCCAATGATGATCTCTTCTTTGGGCTGTCACAAACATCGGTATGATCAGAGACGTGATCCTCACAGAAATTAAAGATGGGTACTGCTAATGTGGGTAAGTTCCCTATCCTGTTTCACTGAGCAACTGCACAAAAGCACAACGCAGCAGACACTGAAGGCTGGGCAAACCTTCTCCTTTTGGCAGTAATGCTGATTCAAGCCACTTTGAAATTTATGTTAAGCTACGTCCTATCTAGGATATACACTTACAAGTCCAGAAAGAATTATCATCATAACCTACCTAGATAGAAAGCAGAGAATTACTCAGTAGTCAGACTAGAACATATTCCTAAAAAGAAAAATTCACGTCTTGATGAAGCCGCATCCTGTAACAACTTGTTCCACTGACTGTCTAGCTTTTCAGTTAAAAAAAAGAAGTGCTGGCTATTTGCCACTTCCAAGCACTGGACCTTGCAATACATTTGCTGGACTGAAGGTTCTGTCCTTCAAGTCAAATTTGAGCAAGTCGCCCTCTAATCTTTCCTTTATCGTCTCAATCCTCTCACTGTAGGGCTTATTTTCCAATTTTATCATCAGTTTCATTATTTTTCCCTAATCTTCTCCAATTTGACAAAATCATTCCTCAACTGTGGAAGCCAGAGTGGAAAACATTATTGTGACAGTGCATGCCCCAGAGCCCAGGAATTAAGGTAAAATGTCCTCTTTATGGTGGGGACATTTTACGTTTATTATTACACTAAGGTAAAATGTCCACTAAGTAGCCAACAAGATGCTCAACTATTTTTCAGAAGAAGTGCTTCAACAGAAGCCTGTATTAAGAGAAGTCTCTTGATGTGGCTTTGCTTGTTCATTCCTTGACATAACAGCTTTACATTTGATTTATTGAAACAATAGTGGCTCTCTTTCTATTTTAATAGAATGAGACAGACTGAGGAAATGGCCTATCGCTCATGTGCTTCGAGGTGTTCCTGTAACCATCCATCCTGCAGTCCTACCCATATAAGAATATAGGACTAGTCCATCTAGACCGGCAATGACATGCCTAGAATCAGATGTTTCAAAGAACAGTGCAGCTGGCAGGAGTGAAGTAACCTTTTCCATGATTACTACTTCCCTCTAATACTTAGAGACAGCCTTGAGCCCTCAGATGCAACATTTTCTACATTTACTACATGACTCAGTTAAGACAATGATAGACAATTTTGTATCTCTATATATTTACACTAAGTTCTCAGTCTCAGAATTTAACCCAGGGTCATTCCATTCCTTTCAGTCAGTCCACGTGCAGTAAGTTCCCCAGTTTAGTCACATCTTGTGTACGAAAGCATTTACTGTCATTTTTTTTCCATTTCCTACCCTTCCATTTCACTGACTCGTTCTTGTACTAGGAGACAGACAAGTCCTGCTTCTCTAGAATTCCTGTTTTCACGTGGGAGGTCTTCAGCACAGCTCTGCTAATACTAAGAACAGCCTCTGCTTCCACTTACGTGAGTTTTGACAAGACATGTAGTGTCGCCGCCCCAAGGAACAATGCCTTTTCTGCAAATTGCTGAGAAAATTCTTGTCCTGGTTTCAGCTGGCATAGAGTTAATTTTCTTACTAGTAGCTGGTATGGCGCTGTGGTTTGGATTTAGGATGAGAATAATGTTGATAACACACTGATGTTTTAGTTGTTGCTCAGTAGTGTTTATACCAGTCAAGGACTTTCCAGCTTCCCGTGCTCTGCCAGGTGCACAAGAAGCTGGGAGGGGGCACAGCCAGGACAGCTGACCCAGACTGGCCACAGGGCTATTCCATACCGTATGGCGTCATGCTCAGTATATAAACTGGGGAGAGCTGGCCGGGGGGCAGTGATCACTGCTCAGGGACCCACTGGCCATCGGTCAGCGGGTGGTGAACAACTGCATTGTGCATCACTTGTTTTGCATATTGTTTTACCATTATCATTATTATTTTCTCTTCCTCTGCTGTCCTATTAAAGTGTCTTTACCACAGCCTGTGGGTTTTACTTTTTTTTTCCAATTCTCTCCCCCATCCCATTGCGGGGGCAGGAGGGAGGGTGGGTGAGCGGCTGTGTGAGCGGCTGTGTGATGCTTGGTTGCCAACGGGGGTTAAACCACGACAATTATATAACAGGATTTAAAAATCGGTCTGAAGATGCAAAGGAGTATTTTCATAATATTGAAAATCACTGACCTCTCAAGTATTTAAAACATGTCAGCTTTCACTACTTTTAGCCTTTTTTGACTGAAATCATTGTGAATTATGCTCACATAAGTAGACATGGCATTAATTTCCACGATGATGGAAGCTTTGATGTACTAAGTTCTATACAGCTCTAAACAGCTGAAGCGATTAATAGCAAAGCTTACAAAATTGCGATGGATAGAAAGCTAAAAGGAGAAGTCAGAAAGCCATTATCAGGAAGTCAGTAGGTGCATCATGTAACTTACCAAACAGGCGCTGATGGAAGAGAAATTTCCCAGCTATCAGTCCTGTGAGAATGGCAAGCAGCCACAGAAACACCTTCAAAAATCTCCAGCCTCCTCCTTCAGGGTATTTATTTGTTACAAAGGAGAAACAATTACCAACAACAATAACATTGGCTTCTGTCTGACTGTGAGATACTGGGTCCTCAGCAAATATTAAGAAGTTAAAGAAGATCACTAAGTAAGCCACAACTAAGCGAGACCACGGGTGCTGGAAGTAGTAGCGGAAGTCTTTATCCATCCTCAGATACTGTAGAACTGTTCTTTGCCTGTATGTAAAGACACAAATGCACAATGTTATACATACCCAGAATTCTCAGAGCTCAGGAGATACCTGCACATTACAAAAATCAAATCACTGTAATCCTGTCATCAGTAATTTTTAACACGTCAGACTTGACTAGCTATGAAAGTTTCAATCAAAAGATACAGTTAGATCCAGGCAGAGAAAAAATGAAATTTCTGCCCATTCCAATGTAAAAACAACAAATAAACATATATACATTATAGCACAGGATTTTCAGTCTCAAACATTTCTACGCTATCTCTTTAAAATTACAGATCCATAATGGGGCACTAAAATACAGCATGTACGAACACAACAGGCTACATGAAACTCAAGAGTGCCTTTCCAGCCACGTTCCAAAAAATACAACACAGATTTCACAAATGTTCATGCTACGCCTAAATTGAATCTTTCCCCTTATAGGAGAAGGATGGAACAAGCCTGTAAGTCCAGTGAGGTCTGCTACTGCCTCATCTCCAGGAAGCTTACAAGCATATACCCCAGCAACATCAGAAACTTGTGTTTATATGAAGGAATAACATGATGGAAAAGTTGCTAGAATTAATCTTTGCATGTCAGGCAAGCCTGTGGAAATCTTTTCAATGACTTCAGGGAGTACACCTATAATTAAGCATATTTTCAAAACTGGAAAATAAGAGTGTCCCGAGCACAGACTGTTTTGTACAAATACAAAAATTGTATTTCGAAGCTTGCCTACTTATGAAGTACTGCTATGGAAAAATGCAACTGAGCGCGGTTAATGGTTCAGTTGTATGCCATTTGATTTCTTTTTCTTTTATTGACAACAAATCAGTTGTTTCATCCTGTTGAAGCACTTTGTATGCACAAAGATACAAGGCCTTTGTCTTGCAGAACACCGCAGTTATTCAAGGGACACAGAGTGTAGGAAGAAAAGAAAAAAAAAAAAGAGTATCTAATAATATTGCTTGTTTATTACAGCACGATCCTTGAAGGATACAGTGTACTTAATTTGAACAGTACAGATTTTTGCAAATGTCATATGCCCTGCAGGAAAAAAAAAAAAAAAAAAAAAAAACCCAAATTGCAGCAAAAGACCTAAAAAAACCCAAGCAATTACTCATCCCTTCTTGGACTTCTGACTAAGTACCACTTTGCAAACTTACAAACAGCTTGAATTACAATGTCTCCCTTTAGGTAGTCCCTTCAAAATTATTTAATTCTATAATCCAATTTATATTTGTAAAATTACAAGGAATCCTGTACCCATTAAATCAAAAAGATAAAAGAACCTCTCAGCAGATTCAGACAATGCATTCAGTAAATAATAAAAATTAATAATGTCCCATTATGCATAAATTACATATGAAAACGAAAAAAAACGACATTAGAGAGTTAAAAAGTTGGCACAAGGAAGTGAAAGCCCTTTGAAAATGTTATGAATAAAGTGATTTAAAGCAAGGGTCATTGGCCCCGCAGCCTAAGAAAATACCACTTTGGGGAAATTAAACCACCTTTAGAGCCACAAGGATGCCCAGAGGTCTTTTCTGTTCTCCTTTCGTCCCGCTAACGGGAAGAAAAGTTTTGGTGTCTCCTTATGTGTCTGAACCATCTTAAAGCCGGAATGGGGCTGGAAATAAACAACTCTATGTCCTGACATTTTCGGCAGCTGCCGGATACCCGAGAGTTTAAATGAGACACCCAGCTGAAGACGCAGCTTCCTAGGAAGCTTTTATAGCTTAAGAAGCCAACATCTGAAATAGCAGCAGTGCTAAATCGCTAATAAAAAGCCTGCTCCTGACTACCTCAACGCCGAAGATGAGGGTGCCGACAAAGCCACGCACCAGGCGCCCATCGCAACCTGTTAAATCGGCCCATTTCCCCCTGCCCCCGGCGCAGACCTGGGGACCCGCGGCCGCGTCACCCCGCGCAGCTGCGGCC